TCCATCAACTGGATAATTAAGCCCTGCATAGTTTTCTTTTTAACTGTCACTAGTCAATTAGTCCCAACGAGGCAATTAGGAGTGCCCTACCCTAAATCAGACATCCCATCTCAGAAATTGTCATTCTGACACACATTTTGACATGATGATATTTTTTAAATATTTCAGAAAATGTCTTCTAGATAATTGAGTTCTACTTAAATTCTTGAAGTCGAGAACTTTCACATGAAATTGGAATCTGCACTGCTCAATAGCTATCATTTTTTTTTTTAAAGTTAGAACCAAAATATGTAAAATACAGAATTTATACAAACAATATCTCTTTTAAATTCTGTTTAAGGGGAGATAACTGTGCAATAAAAACTTCTTAATATAATCATTGATTGAATTAAGCTTGTTAACATCGTGGTCCCTAGTGGTAGAAGGGGGCTACAAAGGGGTATGAATAGAAACGCTTAAAAATTCTTCTCAAGGACATTCATTAAAAATATATGTCAATTTATCAGAATTCTATGTACAATTAATCTGTCACCAAATATAGAAGTCCCTGGGCTTGGTTCATTGACCAATGCCCTTAATCTTAAGATGAATAGGTCTCGTGATAAACTTAAAAAAATATTGACAGTCTCACATTATTAAACTACATTCCTTGGAAGCTGATACATTTTAACAGGTTTAAACAATTTCTGTCCAAGGAAAGCTGGTAAATCTACCAGTACAAGGGATTAGTGGATCAGCATTTAAAGATTGTTCTGTTGTTCTCATGTTCCCAATAGCTGTTAACAGAAAACATATACCGTGCATAATGTCTGCCAAAAAGCAAACCGAAAATCAGCAAACTCTAAAGCATACAAACAATACCCCCTCCTACCCATTTCATGTCATTATTTATGAATGGTAACATCTGTGCTCTTTGGTAAGCAGGTCCAAGAAAAATCAGCAGGTATCAGAAATATAAAGGCTGTATAATTGGATTTGCACAATGGCCTGTGGGTCTACAATACAATGGTTGGACAGGATGGTGGTCCAATTTGAGCAATGTTTTTCTTTCATCCAGCCTGTTCTCGACTGGGTATTTTTAACACATTTTACAGGTTAATTTTTTATGCATAAAAGATTTTCAGGTGCTAAGGAAACCTGAGGGTCAAGTCCCACAATTATCACTTGTCTGGTCCTAGATCAAGAGTCTTGACTCTAATTGGTCAACTTCAAAGGTTCAAGATTTAAAACAGAAACTTAAATTTATCCCTAGGATACATTATAATTAACTGATCTGAGATTTACAGTTATGTGTACATAAAACCAAAATGGAAATTTAATTATAATGTCATCTGTATTTTACTCATGAAAATAAAAAAAATCCTTTGAAATGAATGTTTAGTTATTCTTATGTAACATATGCTCAAATTGTAAAGATCAAGGAAATGATTTTAAATATTGAGCATTGTTAAAATTCCTTAAATTTCTGATTTCATGGATTTGTACTGATAATAGAATTGATTTTTTAAAGGTGGAACAAATGACTAAACCACACAAAAACTAATGAGTCACTTGTTTGGGGTTTTAATTTACAAAGGCACCAACATCATACGGATCCATAAAATAATACTTTATAAAAATAGCAGGGATTCAGTCCCCAACTTCATGGCAACATAAAAAGTTCAGGTATCATCTCATATGGCATGTTTAAAGACAGGTATGGAAATTAAAATTCCACCCCGAACACTGTAACAACATATTGAATCTGCATACAATGAGATCGGGGAGGCATGAATAACAAAGCTGGGGTCCTGCACTGAAATAAGGGGTCATGATTGCAGGAAAACAGCAATATTTGATACTTTTAACAGAGATTTACATTGATGTATTGCCCCAGATAATGGATGATTGGGAATCTAATCGATGGAGAGGGATTGATCCCCTACTAGTGAATACTTCATTCTTGTGAAAATCAACTTGCTGCTTTCCTGCTATATGTAAAAATTCTCTCCTATGAAGGAATTTTACAAATTGCAGAAAAGTGAAGACCTACTTCGTTGTAAAAATTTATGACTACTGAAATTATTTTCCAATTTCTTATTTCTCCTTTCAAACGTTCATAAAATGCTTCATTATAATACCAACATGTATCGAACATTCTCAATATTTACTGAATATCTTAAAAGAAACTAACAACAAACTATCCTGTAAATGCACTGAGATAGTCAGTGGCTCGACACGATAACCACAATTACTTATGTAGCATACCCAGCAAGCCCTGGATTATGGGGAATCAATAGGGTCTACAGGCCCATGTCTTTAATTTCTTATCTCAAAGCATTGTCACAAATACAGTTCATTCAAAATCTTAAAATAAAATTGGGTACTGCTAGACCACACAAAAGGCTTTGTCGCTGTCAAACTGAAGGGCTGGAAAAACTCTATAGAAGAGAAATATTTTAATTTATGTTGACATACAATCAAAATGGAAATTTAAACACTTGCAACACTATATCAGGTTCACTCAAGAAATTATCAATTAAACTCCAATCCAGCAGCAGCTAATTGAATTTTCTGCAGTGTAATCATGATGCAGATAAAGTTACCTTTAAAAAAATTATTTACAGCTAAGTATTTTGATTTCATCCCATATAATTTTTTTTAGTTTAGCTGAGAAAAAGGGTTTCAGCATTTCAGCACTGCATATTTGTACAGTTAGGAACATGCTGTATCTCTAGACAGCAAATAAAAGACCTCTGGTTCCCATCCGTTTATCTTTACAAAGATCACAAGGACAGGCTGTTCTGTTTATTGAGGAGTTAATTATAAAGTGTCCCTCGGTGACTAGAATTACTACAATGAATCACAATTAAGAACAAATAAGTCGCCATTGAACAGGTAACAATTAGGTTTGGTTTGACAAGTGACACAGGTAAATTTAAGTCATTTTAATGGGCATTGTCTTCTACTTTGAATCAGTTTAAATCAATACTACATCAGGACAGCAAGGTGCCACCTGTACCCAGCTTGAGATTTGGCCAGAATTTTTTTGTTTCCAAGCTGATTTAGTTAAGAAAGAAAAGACAAAATCTAGTAATTGTTACCAGACCTGACCACTGCCGATTGTTTCTTACATGTACTTAGTAACAAATTTAATAAATGAATCTTCCAATATATTGATCCAGCACTAGTTGTGGAGTGGCTGGTAATTTAGTGTTCGGAATCTCCAGGGGGACAGGTGTATTGTACAGATAGAATGTGTCTCACCTGGCCAACCAAGGCAGAGCTCTGTTATCTTACCCTCACAAAGACCCAATTTCCATTTCACTATACCCAGAGATACCACCACTATATCATTACACTGCTGTGAGGTACCTTTTTTTTTGTTTTCTCTCCTGACAAGTCAAAGTTTTCATGGTTGGACTACGGTCCACTTTATAAGCATAAATGTTACTGGAAGAAAGTTTAATGGCAACAGGAAAATGTCTATATCATTTCTTATCTGAGGCAAACAAAGATTTCTGAAATATGTTCTAATCTTTTTCTTATAAATTATCAATAAAGGTTTATAATACAGAGTTATCTCCCCTTTCCTTGCATACAGGCCCTGCTTTCTGGATGAATCAACAGTTTTCTTGTGACAATACATTGTTAATCCCTGCGATATATGAGAAGCTTTTAATTTCCATTCCCCATATCAAACCTTTTGAGAGGGTCTTTAGACATCACAATATTTTAATTGAGAAATACAAACAACCTACAGAAATTGCTAATTCATGGAGTTTTCAGTCCTCCTTAACATTACAGCATTCCTGGGAAAAGAACTATGTTATAGCTGGAAAATGTGACACTTGTGGACATTTACCTGTCAAAGTCTTCACCTGAGATTACAAACTTGGACAACCTGTAAAGCTACATTAACTGCACTGTTTAGGAACACCAAAACGCTGTGATGGTGTGACATAATTCATAAAACCTGCCACTGGGCCCATTATATATGATTACATATGACACTTTTCATTAAAACTAGAATTCCTACCATGCATAACATTTATTATATCTTCTACACCTGGCTGCCCCCTTCACCTGAGGAAGATACTCATGTATTTATCATTTTAGGGTAGATGAGAGGATCAAGTGTTTAGATGAGCATTAGAGAGGCAGCAAACGGCACACATCTCACAGTCAAGAGGTCGCCATGCACAGCTCTACCTACAGAAGACCTACACCACTGGGTCAATCAACAGAAACAAATTACAGGGTACACCAGCCATCCACCCTTGATACACACATATTCTACTGACTTTGACATCGGTCAGGAAGAAACCTAAAGCTGGATACATGGAATTTTACTTTGACTTAATCACTGTATCATGTTTAATGGACCTTCCCTTCCCTGTTTCAAACAAAATTAAATTCTATGGATGTTTGTGGCCAGCTAGCATGACCAGTGATAGAAGGTCCTGTAATTTGTAATCATATCTAATCTAGAAATAACAGGACACACACTAGTGCCTTCTGAGAATCAGGCCCAATCCTTATCAGCCCAGTCCCATTGTTACTCAATCAACCAAAACAAATTTAAATCTGTCCATCTTATGCCCCTGTAGAAATTATCAAGCTTTCCTTGGCCACAACCAATGTCTTTCCCTTTAATGAGAAAAATATTGAGAACCAATATTTGAAAAGAAAATATACCCCTAAATAAAAGCCCAAACCTATTGGTACCATTCCTGAGCACAGCTTGTATTGTAAAAGCAATTCTCCATCTTAACAGTAACAATGCAGACCAAAGTTCCATATTAAAACACATTTTTCTAAACCACAATCAAGACACTGGGTATCGGCACTTAAAATTAATGTAACCATAGAAAAATCAATTAATATTTGCATAAACTACTGGTACTCTAAATGATTTCTCGGATCAAAACAGCCATAAATTGAACATTTTCTGTAACAGTACTGCTGGAAATAGCCCTACAATTTTTATTTTACATAAAAATGCAAGATGCTGAACTCACCTCTTCCAAGGAAGCCTGAGGAAAGTCAGACTGCGTGTTGACGGCACAGACAGTCAGGTTCACTTGGCTTCCCGTCACCTCCCGATCAAGGAATCCATTGGTCCTAATCATTCCTGATGTCTTGTCCAAAGTGAAGTAATATCCATTGCTTGACAGAGCAGATTTAATTTTCACAATATAATATTCCACACTAGCCTCCGAACTTAGAACAGAATTCACATTGGCTTCCTCACCCTCCCTGACAGAAAATCTGTACGGAGTATTGCTGAACCTCGGACCCGCTTGGACATTAACGCTTTGAATCAGTATAACGGTAACAGTAATGGTGGTAGTTTGAGCAGGACGGCCTTCATCTGAAATAGTAATGACCAGCTTGTACATTGTAGGACTCTGTGGCAAATTTTCATTCAGGTAAAGTTTCCCAAGTGCACTATCCAAACTAAACTTTCTTGTTACTTCCACACCACCCATTAGCTGAAACACTATAGTGCCATTGCTAAGGTAATCTGGATCTGAAGCATGTATGGTTCCAATGTGACCAGTACTTGTGGGGTACTGTATAGTTATTGATGGAGGACTGTTTAAAATCGGGGCATTATCATTTTCATCCAGTACATGAATCGAAAACATTTTTTCTGAAGTTAAACGTAGACTGCCATTGGGGGCCAAGTCACTGGCAACAACAGTTAACATGTACAAGGCCACTTTTTCTCTGTCCAGTTTAGTCTCCAGACGTAGTCTTCCATCATCTCTGTTGATTTTGAAATTATTTCCAGGGGGATCCTGGTTCACAAGGAGGTACTCCACCTTTCCATTTAATCCACTGTCTTTATCACTGGCCGAGATCTGACCAATACTAGCAAACTGTGGTGTGTTTTCAGAAATGGACAAAACGCTAAAGTCGTTGCGAAACTCTGGATAGTTGTCATTCACATCTACAATCCGGACATTCAAATCAGCCTCTGAAAACAGCCTTGGATCACCTTTATCTGTAGCGATGACCTTGACACTGTATAATCTCTTTGTCTCAAAGTCCACCAATTTGTTGAGGTAGATATTTCCATTATGACTGTCGATTTTGAACGTGTTATTTGAATCACTCAAGGAATACTCTATTTCAGCATTGATGCCGAGGTCTGTATCGTCTGCTGTGACCTGAATCAACTTCTCCCCAAGTCTGGTGTCTTCTGGGATGTTGACTTCATACACGGTGAGATGGAAAAGTGGGGTGTTATCATTAACATCCAGGATGTTGATGATGACTGTGGCCGAGGATGTGAATGTTTTGGATTTTCCATTGTCTGCAGCCTGTATTTTCAAACTGTACAGATCTAGAGTCTCTGTATCCAAATTCCCATTCAAGGAGATCTGTCCAGTCCCTGGATTTATGTTGAACATGTCTTCAGTGTTTCCCTCAATAATGGTGTAGGTTAAAGCTGCATTCTCATCTATGTCTAAGTCAGTGGCTGTGACTTTGTACACAAATGAGTACTTGGCCAGGTTCTCCTTGACTGATGTTCTGTAGATGTCTCTATCAAAAAGAGGTGGGTTGTCATTCTGGTCCAGTATATAAATATGGGCAGTGATGGTATCCTCCTGTCTTTGGACTCCATTGTCCATTACTGTCACCTCAACACTGTAGTAATCCTTCCCCGTCTCAGAGATCAGAGCCTCCCTATCATAAGTCCTCAGAGTTGTGATCTCTCCAGTCTGGAAATCAATGGTAAAATTGTCCTGGTCCTCTGACAGTAGAAAAGCCAGCTCTGCATTTCTTCCTATGTCAGCATCCAAAGCTTTAACAGCCCCAATCTTCTCTCCAGGAGGAACATTTTCTGACACATAAAAGGAATAAGTCTGGTTGAGGAATCTGGGCCTGTTGTCATTACTGTCCAAAATATGAACGGTAACATTAACTTCAGAACTCCTTGGAGGAATGCCATGGTCCTGAGCCATGACTGTTAATTTATACAGATCCCTGATTTCTCTATCCAGTGGCTTAGCAATGTACAGCTTTCCATCAGGAAAAATTCCAAACTTCCCATCATCATTTCCTCTAGTTATGTTGTATACAAGATAAGCATTTCTACCTTTATCAGCATCTGTGGCAGTCAGGGTATGGAACTGGGTGTTGACCAGAGTAGATTCCTCCAGGGTGATGGCATAGTCTGTTTTGGGAAACACTGGGTTGTGATCGTTGACGTCTGTAACATGAACTGCAACATTCATGGAGGCGCTACTAGAAGGAGAACCTGAATCAGAAGCGGTGACTGACATATCAAATTGTGTACCATAGACTTTCTGGTAAGGTCGTGTCAGAGTTATCATCCCCGAGTTTGGATTAACTCTGAATAGGTTGGAGTTTGTTGTCAATGTGTAAGTCACCAAGCCATTAGAGCCAGAATCCTGATCTTCAGCAAAAGCATAATAAACTTCATGGCCCACAGCACTGTTTTCTTTAAGTTCAACATTAACTGAATTATACTTAAACTTTGGTTTGTTATCATTCTTATCCTGTACTGTAACAGTGACCTTGACATCAGCTGAACCACCTTGACCTGTGGCAGTGACAGTAAGTTCATAACTGGATTTATATTCACGATCGAGCAATCTGGTCGTACTGATTTCTCCTTGTTGACTTATGTTGAAATTTCCTTCATAATCGCCATCAGTGATAGCATAGGATGAAGAAGCTCCACTAGACAATGATACAGTTCCCAGATTCTGGTTTGCACCGAGATTTTCCGTAACCGAAAACTGGTAATTATCCTTGCTAAACACAGGCAGAGAGGTAAGAGAAGTGACCACGGTTATTTTGACATTGGCATTAACAGCTGCCCTGTGCACAGTATTTGTGTCTCTGCAGGTGACTTTTAAGGTGTATTCCTGCTGAGATGATCTCTCAAATTCATATGTAGTACTTATCCACCCGGTGTTAGTATCCAGCACAAACTCTGGATAATCGTTTGGAAAAGAGTAAAATATCCTGCCACCCTCTCCTTGGTCTGGATCTACGGCATTCACTTTCACAACTTTGGAGCCAGAGGGAGTTGATTTCAATACATTAGCAAAGTACTTTTGTGGATAAAACACAGGCACATTATCGTTTACATCATCCACTGTGAGGTAGATAGTAGCTGTAGAGGACAAAGGCAGAACAGACTGGTCTGTAGCAATTACTCTTAAAACATACTGACTGACTGTTTCCCTGTCCAGTTTTGTAAGAGTGATGACCCTTCCACTCTGGGGGTTCACATTAAATGTATCTGGATACAGCTCCTGGACTTCTGGATGGAAGCTATATACCACTGTTCCATTTGGTCCAGAATCGGTGTCTACTGCTGTCAGACTTATCACAACTGTTCCTAACTGTTGTTCCTCAGGCAGGTGAACTTGGTAGGAGGATTCATCAAATGTTGGTGTTACATCATTTTCATCACTGATTCTGACTGTCAGTTTGGTGTAGCTTGTCAGGGGGACACTTGCTCTATCTTGTGCTGATATGTTCATCACAACCTCTGAGGCCAGATTGTATTTTAGATTTTTCCTTAGTATCACAAGTCCAGTGTTTGAATTAATTTCAAACCAGCCAAAATTATTTCCAGATAAAATTTTGTAGGTTAACTTGGCATTAATTCCAGAATCTTTGTCTTCTGCAACCAGGTTGGCAACAAAGCTACCAACAGGCAATGTTTCCAGGACATTAGCTACATACTGCCTCTGAGGGAAAGTTGGTGGAAACTCGTTCACATCGGCCACAACAATGATGAGACTCTTGGTTCCTGTTTTAGGAGGGGATCCCATATCCACAGCTTGTATGGTTAAATTATACATGTCTATCCTCTCTCTATCTAAACTGTCCACGTTCACGAACAATGCATTATATTTATACTGGAAACTTGAATGAAGTCGAAAATGGTTAAGTTCATTTCCAGTGATAATTTTAACAGATGATATGTTAGCTGAGATTCCTGTATCCGCATCACTCACTGTTATAGCTGCTACATAGTCCCCATTCTTAGCCGTTTCATTTACGGATATATAATTTTTCACTGAGCCCCCATGGATAACATTGATGGTTGGTGCATGGTCATTCTCATCTTTGATACTGACTGTCACATATGCTCGGCCATTTAATGCTGGACTTCCACCATCTCGAGCCTCCAGCGTAAGGAAGATACATCCGCTGGACGAACAAGGCTGTGATCCTCCACAATCAGTGTTACAGCGAAGTGGAGTACGAGTCGTACGAATTTCTCCCGTTCGTTCATCAATCTTAAATTGTAGCGATTCATCGGTCAGTGTATAGAATATATTTCCATTATCGCCAATATCATCATCAGTTGCATCTACTCGAATCACAAGAGTATCTATCGGAGAACTTTCATTCACGGTAGCTGTATACTGACTCATTGAAAAAATAGGTGGATTATCATTGGTGTCTGTAACTTGAATTTTCACAATTAAATCACCATATAACGGCATGTCCCCCTGATCATTTGCTCTGATGGTTATTTCATAAGAATCTTTTTCTTCTCTATCCAGTCCACTAGTAAGCTCCAAATATAAAACTTGTCCAAATTTTGAAGGATCAAAAACTGTTCTAAATTTGTTATCATCATTTCGAGCTACAATTTGATAATTTGTAACATTTCCATTTTTGTTTATGTCTTTGTCCGTGGCTGTATCTAGTCTAATGCTATATCCAATGTTGGCTTTTTCTGAAATGTCCCTGTGAACTGGACTTAGGGGAAAAGAGGGAGAATTGTCATTTATGTCTAGCACCGTTATATAGATATCAATAGGAATTTGTGAAGTGTCTCCGGGAGGTCGACTTATCACAAGAATATTGAGTCGATCTGATGACAACAGTTCTCTATCTATCTCAGCTCTGGTGGATATTTCACCAGTCGTGGGATTCAGTGAAAAGTATGGCTGTGGTTCATTGAAGGTGTATGAATATGAGGACTGAACAGACAAAAATCCAACCCGGGTCCCAGGAGGGCGCCCCTCGTATACCGAAAAGTTTGTCCCAGGCCCTTGGCCCTGGGCATAGGTCACTAGGAACTGTAGCAGTACCAGCACGATAGCTGTCCATCTTTTCCGCGCTGAGGTATTACCACATTTGGCACATTCGGAAATTCCCGATATTTCCATCCTCAGTTCTTGTTATGCATTGATCCCATTATCACTTTCACGAATCCTTGACAAGAAAATTTTCTCCAATATAAACCTCGTTATGGGATTACATTCTTCTTCTCACAATTTGGTAACAGTAGTTTTTGTTCTTCTCGACAGTGTACACATTGCTTTTCGGATTTAGTCCCCTTTATGTT